CTTCGCTTGTTTATACAGCTGAGCTCATACCAATGGTGTACATGGGTTGACTCAGCTGAGAAAGCCACCTTATGGTTGAATTTATGTCACGAATTTCCACTTTGAACTGAGTAGACTGATGAGTGATTCCGTGTTCTCTCAGCTAGCTGGCTGGATGCGAAGCTTTTCATTATTGACCTACTACTAGGAAACATCTTCAGCACATGCACTTCACTTCAATTTGAATTGAAGTGAGCTCCTTTTTAGATTTCTCCACGAGTTTATTAGTCATCTCTCTTGGTGACCATCTTGAACGGGACTCTTTTGTTGTGATTGTGTGTTTTCACACCCTGTAGGCTGTTGCTTCTGTTGGTATTGGTGTTGATTGTTTCCTTGATCTGAAGTTTGACCCTTTGTGTGTGTGAGATTTCCTTCCACTCGATTGATAAATTTTTTCTATCTCGATGTGTCTGTTGATTGAAGATTCACATGAACACCTGGCGGGCTTCTAAAAAACTTCTCTGGCTAGCATTCTTGGTGTTTCCTCTGTCAAACGTTTGAACGTTGGTTGTTGCAGTCGAATTGATGTCCACGGTTGTCTGTATGCAGCGATATGAGGGAGGGAGTGGATATCATTGTCCATTGACGGTTAGTTAATGATCATGGATACGACGACGAACAGGAAACACTAGGAATGCTAGCCAGAGAATTTGTAGAAACTTGGTATTCCAGTGAATCGTCAATCAATAGACACATTGATATAGACAAAATTCACTAATCGATAAGAAGGAAATCTCACACACACACAGAGTTAAACTTCAGGTCAAGTTCTAGGTACAAAGAAGAGACAGGACAAACAGTGGCTCACTACGGACACTTGGAGACTAATAGAAGAGAGAAGGATGGTGAAACAAAAGATTCTCCAGTGCATCGATGAGCAACAAAAACAGGATTTGAATGCAAACTACAAGACACTGAACAAAAGAGTAAAGAAGAGTGCCTGGGAAGAAAAAAGAAAGTATTATGAAACCATGGCAAGTGAAGCAGAACAAGCTGCAGGCAAAGGAGACCTCGCAACACTTTACCAAACAACTAGGTACCAATCGGGCAAAAATTTGACACAAATTAAGCCGGTGAAGGATGACAGTGGAAAGTCACTCACCAAAGAAGTGGAGCAAAGGAAACACTGGGCTGAACACTTCAAAAGACTCCTAAATCGACCACCACCGACAACGCGCACAACAATACCAACAACGGAAACAAAGCTACCAGTGAACACCAACCCCCCGAAGAAATCAGAAGTCCTGAAGGCAATCAAGATGCTAAAAGCTGGAAAAGCAGCAGGACCAGGTGGAATCCCAGTAAAAACGTTGAAAATGAACCCGGTGACAACAGCGGACTTGATGACATCACTACTGGAGAAGGTGTGGAAAGAAGGCAAAGTACCTGAAGATTGGAAGGAAGAATACTTATTCAAACTACCAAAGAAAAGAGACTTAAGTCCATGCAAGAACTGGCGCGGAATTATGCTCCTGTCCATCCCAAGCAAAATACTAAGCCGCATCATCCTGGAGAGAATCAAACAAGCCCTGGATGAAAAACTTTGACCGGAACAGGCTGGATTCAGGAGAAACAATTCATGCATTGGTCAGATCGCCACGTTACGGATGGTAGTCACCTCTCCATCTCAAGTTCATCGGCTTTGAAAAGGCCTTTGACAGCGTCGATCAAGAGGTGATTTGGAAACTAATTCGCTACTACGGGGTGCCACCGAAAATTATATATCTCATCCAACAGCTGTACGACAATGCTGCATGCTAAGTAATCCACAACGGGAAACTTACGGAATCCTTCGAAGTGAGGACAGGAGTAAGACAAGGCTGACTGCCTACTATCGCCAATGATTTTCCTGATTGCAGTAGACTGGATAATGTGACAAACAGCGAGGGCAATGAGGAAACAGGCATAAAATGGACTCACACAAAAAACTTAGAGGATCTGGACTTCGCCGATCATATATGTCTGATTTCCCACAAACTGGAAGATATGCAAGCGAAAAGCAACAAGTTAGCAGAAGAAGCATCAAAGATAGGACTTCAGGTGAACATAGAGAAAACAGAGGTGATGAAGATTCCTCGGCAACACCAACAACAGCAACAACAACAACTGACAACAATCAGCATAAATGGAAGAAACCTGAAAGAAACAACCTCTTTTACCTACTTGGGAAGCATCGTTTCAACTACAGGCGGAAATGATGAGGATATCAAAGCAAGACAAGCTTTCACTACTCTCAAGTCTGTGTGGAGGTCAACAGCACTCAGCATCAAAAATAAGATCCGAATTTTCAACTCCAATGTGAAGTCAGTGCTACTCACTATACGGATCAGAGACTTGCACTAAGCGTCATAAAGAGCATCTCAAACAAACTACACACCTTCATTAACAGTTGTCTTCGCTCAATACTCAAGATCAGATGGCCGGTCAGAAAAGATCAGCAAGAGAGATCTCTGGCAATGAGCGAATCAACCCAGCAGGAACCGATTGTGCAACAAATAAGCAGGAAGAAATGGAGGTGGATTGGCCACACTCTGAGGAAACCATCAAGTGACGTCACTAGACAAGCCATTGCTCGAGTGGAACCCGAAAGGGAAGCGGCGAGTTGGTCGTCAGTGCAAGGGTGACTTGGAGGAGGTCATGTGAAGAGGAGATGAAAATGTGTGGGCAAACTTGGAGCCAGGTGAAGACTCTAGCAGGGAATCGAACGCAATGGAGATGCACGGCTGAAGCCCTATGTTCCTCTAGGAATTAAAGGAAACAATAATAATAATAATGTGCTGAAGATGTTGCCTAGCAGTAGGTGAATAATGAAAGCTTCGCAAATAAACCATCCAGCTAGCCAGCTAGCTCAGAGAACACAACCACATCAAAATCATCCATCTGAGCTACAAATCTCTTCTCCATCATATCTACATATATATGCGTAAAAGTACCAAGTCAAATATTTTTCCAAACTTTATTTATCTGAATTTCAAAACTTTCTATTCTTGATGACTCCTGTCATCATCACAAGTAGTAAGAAGTTTGTGGACCTAAATATCACCTAACCCTAACACACTTCAGCGACTCAGGGATTGACTTGCTGCCACCAGGGAATAATCTCGTCGACTTAGAATATGCAGACGATATAGTCCTTCTAGGCGAGGACGCTGACAAAATAGAGCAGAGTCTACTGAACACCTTGAGCAACAATCTTCGTATGTTTGGCATGCGATTCGCCCCTGTAAAATGTAAGATGATGCTGCAGGATTGGAATTCACCGACCCCTTTAGATTAGAAATAGGCAGGAGTGAAGTGGTAGAGCACGTTGACCGCTTCACTTACTTGGGAAGTACCACCAGCCAGTGCCAACGGGTTGATCTCTGACGAAATCTCAACACGAATACAGAGGGCTAGTTTCGCATATGCCAGTTTACGCCGTCTCTGGCGTAGACGTGATATCCGGCTATCGACCAAAAGGCGTGTGTACTGCTCATCAGTCCTCTCCGTCCTCCTTTATGGCTGTGAGACCTGGCCATTGAGAGCGGAAGACATAAAAAGATTAGCTGTCTTCGATCACAGGTGCCTGCGTTCTATCTCCCGTGTGAAGTGGTATAATAAGGTGAGCAATATTGAGGTTAGGCGTGGAGTGCTAGGTAAGGAGGGAAAATCAGTCGACGAAACTGTGAAATTACATCGACTGAGATGGTTAGGACGTGTGTTATGCATGCCTAGTCATCGCCTCCCTCGACGGGCAATGTTAGCTGATATAGGGCCAGGCTGGAAAAGAGCTAGAGGCGGTCAAACCAAAACATGGCACTAGTCAATGAAATCTACAACAGTTAGTCTAAGCCAGCCACGTAGGAAGATGTAGACTTCCTGACTGGTTGGGGTCCTCGGGACGGTAATAACCAATGATTGGTGACATGGCTCAAAATCGTTCTCAGTGGCGCAGATGCATCCACTCCTTATGAGTTATGATTTCCAATGAAACTGTTTTGTTCTTCGTTATTACTATTCCTTTGTCTAACACCTCTGTTTACTGTCTCTAATATGCATTTCTTCTACTTTCCTCTCTTGCTTTGTGTGCTACAAGGAGGGAGTGTGGCGACTTGAACTGGTGCACATATGTTCAAAGTTCTATGTCGAAAACCAACCGACCGAAATATCACAAAAATAAAATACACATTGCCTTCAGAATGACCACCAACCATTAGCAATCATCCATAAAATTGAAAGGATAAAGAAAATAAGGGGGATAACTATTTTTTCTCCTTTGTACGTCAGTGGTTCATGCGGGTTAGATTGTGCTCGCTAACCAACCAACCACACGTCACACATGGTCCCGAGTTCGATTTGCGCGGCGTCGACGCACTCCCATACCTCACCTGGCCAACAAATAGTAAACCAGGTACAGAAGGAAGGTTAGGCGGTCGTGAGACTAGCAACCCCACTCCCGCCCTTCACACACACACAAACACGTTGAAGTAAAAACAAACATACCAAAGCTACTGAAACTTCAAAGCTTCTCTTAAATCTGAAGAGTCCTGTGTTCCAGTTGGAACTCAGGGAATAAAAGAAACTTTATTTATTGTACATTCATTGTAGAGTGTACACACACACACACAACTGAGCGAAAACAAGAGACATACAATCAATCAGAATAATGATCTCTAATTAGAAAGGGGAAGGGGAAGGAGGCGTGTGTGGGGTTGGGGAGTGAGTAAGTTTCATAATGACACCAATAAACCACCTTTATATAGTACAAAGCTAAACGGGTCAAAATTAATTCATAGGATAAAATGACAAATGTACAATATGATGAATACAGTGTTGTCATAGTTACGTGATTGGTTTTTTTTTGCGCGCGAATAATCGAAATGCGTCATTTTAGCAGAAAAAACAATGTGTTCATTTTATCTCTCTCTTTTCAACAAAAGAATAATAATAATAAATGCTTTATCCGTGTATTGAACAGAGGTTTATTTTTTTGGCGCGCTTTTTAATTCACTACATATACTAGTCTTTTGAATATAATTATTATTACTAATATTAGTCCGAGGTGAATTGACATAATTCATATGCCCAGGACTAGGTAGTTCACGACTCTTCTCAGAATCGATTAAAATTTTCGGGATAGAAGATTGAAAATATTTTGGACGTATAAGAGATTTACTCTTAGATGAGACAGTAGGATTGATGGTGGATTGTGTACATGACGTGATTGGTTGTTGTTGTTGATGTTGATGTCGATGTGTTGCAGCGATTCGAGCACGTATTCTAGCCTGTTCACGGAGTAGTTCACTTTGCTCTAGTTCTAATCTAAATTGAAAAATAAATTTTAGGAAAAATGTTGAAAGTATATATCTATACAGATCACGAAAACAAAAGAAAGGTCTACAACAGTAAATAAACAATTATCAAAATGAATTTTTTTATCTAGCTTTCATGAATTCCTACCCGGGTTTAGGATGATCAAGAATCCTCTGACCCCGGGTGGAGGCTCACCATTGCACCTCGTGGGTTGAACCTCCCAACGGACCCTAATCGAGTACGCTCGGGCGTGTAGTTTTTGTCAGTGTGGAGGCTTCACGCCCCCCCCCCTTATTGTGTGCGTCGATGGCACAGTGGTTAGAACTCTCGCCGACCATGCACATGGTCCGGGGTTCAATCCTCTGCCGATGCACACCTGATATCAGTGGTTGGCCGGCAAAATTTGGGCTACCGATATCGCATGCGTGGACGGGAGGGAATCGCAAGTCAAAGATTAGGAAATGTCTGCTCAACATGTTCAGAATAATCTGAATTCTGTCTTCAACCAGGAGGACAATATCATCTACATCCTGGTGTGACAACAGAAAACAAGGGCCAGGCAACAGATCGTTTATTTACGAAATCAACACATATTTATAGATTTTCATGTACATTATTATTAGCCTCTTCTGATTGGTTTCTCATTGAAAGTTAATCTTTCATCTTTTTGTGGCCGTTTCTTGAAGGTCAGATTATCTATCTGCAAATTGTATCCGCCCACGCAAACAAAGTCTGTTGTGGTTGGCTGTTGAGTCAGTCTTTGTTCTTATTTTTCTCACGACCAATATTTGGGACATAAACATTGACGTAAATTACTGTCTACCAATTTGGCTAGCAGCCAGCTCTCACCACACTACTATTGTGACGAGTGCTACTGATAAGATTTGTGAGTAGTATATAAAGAGATATTCATCGGCATAAAATATTGAATAGCGGGTGGATACATTTGATTTCAAACAAGGCAAATGATACAACTTTGTAGAGATGCATGGGAGACGTGAAAGGAGCACAAAGAAACACACACAACATGAAGTCCAGATGTACCACAACACGAAGATTTGTGCAAATGGTGCGTTCACGATACGGTGTATACATAATTTGACTATGTAGAGATACGAGTTGATCACGGACTGTTATCAGTTAGAGAGCCATTGAAACCCAGGGGGTACTGCACAGTTGTCTCATCCTAGTTTGGAAATCATCGACAGTAAGCACCCACCAGCAGGCTTCGAACCCAGGACCTTCCGGTTACAAGGCCAGTAAGCTCGTATACCATTCAGCCACTGGGACGCAGCCCATAAATTCTAACTTCTACCAATTCGTGATTTAGCGCGACTGGCACCAACCAATGTCATCGTTGGGACATCCATCCTCACACGTGACATCTGGATGGATCTCACTGGTAACGACTTCTCACTAGAACTTCAGGATGAACTTGTAAAAGACACACCTAACCCTTACAAACCAAACTATAGAAAATATATAGAGACACCAATTTCCAAATTAACAATTCTTTTCCAAATCTTCGTCTTCTACTATTTCACTACGACCACCTTGATTAGATACCTTTACAAAACCTTAGAAAACTAAGCCATAAATAGACGAATCAAAATTGTCCAATCAGGTGATCCTCTCCGTGCATGCATAAATCATGATTTATTTCACAGTTAGCAAAAGAAGCTTATCCATCCTAAGACTGATGATGAAGTCTTTTGAAATTTGCCTTAATTCGCCTCTCTTTAATGTCAAGTAGAAAGAAATCAATATAAATTAAGCAAGTAAAATAATATAAAGAAGTTGATCACGGATTGACATCAGCTAGAGAACCATTGAAAACCAGCGGAGTACTGGACAGCTGCTGTTTTATCCTAGTTTGGGAATCATCGGCAGTATGCACCCACTCCCAGGATTCGAACCCAGGACCTTCCGGTTATAAGGCAAGCTGACTCTTAAACCATTCAGCCACTGGGACCCGATTCAATGGCCAGTCCATGAATTCTAACTTCTACCAATTGGTGATTTAGCGCGAACCCTGGCAGTGGGTGCATATTGCCGATGATTCGCAAACTAGGACGGATGAAACAGCAGCTGTCCAGTACTCCCTGGCTGGTTTTCAATGGTTCTCTAACTGATTGATATCAATCCGTGATCAACTCGTAAAAAAACATAACTAACCCTTACAAACCAAACTATAGAAAATACAAAGAAAGTATTTTTTTGAAGAAAAAAAAGAAAAATCAATAAATCGAACACCTACCTTGCCATTGCATCATCCAACTCTTTAAATGTAGCTGTTACACTTTGTAAAACTTTTGAATGAGTATTTGACGGATTCTGTAAACAACTATTATTAACGCCATCACCAACACGGGTGTTATTTTGTAGCTTAACACTGGAGAGTTGAGGATCACTGCCTTGATGTTGACTGCAACCCATTGTCATCATCATTTCATCATTGACGTGAGTAGTGTTCAACAGTGTGTCATAATTGTTATCTGAATTCTGCAATTTCAACTCAATTGATTGTTGATTTCTCTTCTTACTATCATTATTATTGTTATTATTATTACGTAATTGTTCTAACAATTGACGCAACTGATAAATCTCCGTCTCTTGTTTACTTAATCGATCAGCAGCACGTAAGGCATCTTGACGAGAAAGGAGTAGTTCATAGCGTAATAGGGCTATTTCGACAGCTAATTCTGACGGTTGTTTTCTGTTAGGTTTCTTCATTGAATTCATCACTGTGGTCGATGTGGTGGAATTCTCTTCTTCTTCATCAACATCAACATCATCATCAACAACAACAGCAGCAGTGTCATGCATATCATAATTACTATTCTCTGAATGTGTATAACTGTACAATTCTTCAGAGGAAGCATTTTTCCGATGGGTATGTTGACGACGACAGATGAAATTATCAACAGGATTATCAGTATTATTAATATTATTATTAGGATTAGTATTATAGACTTTATGAGTTGGAGAATGAGGCGTAAGATTCACCTGGACAGTATTCGACGCACCAAATGAAAAGTGATCACCATTGATATTATTATTACTGTCGAACATATTTTCACGACTCTGTAATGCATAGAAAAAGATTGAGTAATAATAAAGTTAGACGTATACAGTGTTTGGTGAACAAGTTATGAAGCTCTATAGATTCAGATGGCTAGAGCAGGTGTTGCGCATGCTGAAACATTACCGTCCTCGGCTAGTAATGTCAACCATGTAGGAAGGTGTAGACTGCCTGGCTTTGGTCGGCCGGATGAAGCCCTATGTAACACACGTAGCGTAGGTGGCAAAGTGGTAGATTGCTCCCCAACCACGCCTCATGTGGTCCGAAGTTCGATCCCTGACCACCGATGCACCATTTTATCCCTGTAAGCCAGTAATACGACTGACTGGTAAAGAAGGAAGGGTTGGGGATGAGACTAGCAACCCCATCCTGAAACTTGAAAGCTCTTGGTTGAAGGCCCCTTTGTTCCATTGGAAACGTAAAGAAATTATGTCTTATAATTATAATGTCCCACTCGACACTCAAGGAATGAAAAAAATAAATAAATAACGACTGTGGTACATAGTAGTTCCTGTCACTGTCTGTCTGTCTGGATTCAACATAGAACTTGGAACCGAAGTGCAGCAGTTCCAGTTGCCACGTTCCAAAGAGCACACAAAGGTAGACAAGAAGATGAGTGAAGAGAATCAATAGAGTTTTGACAAGTATAAGAGTGAAACAGAATGAGTAATGGTAGAAAGGAATATGAAAGATTACAGAGACTGAATACATCTGCGCTAGCCATTGACAACGATTTCGAGCCATGTCACCTATTGTCTGTCTCCAGCCATTGATTCTTAGAGTCCCGAGGGCCCCAGCCCCTACCCGGAAGTCTCCATCTCCCTCCCTACCTGACTCAGTTTAACTGTCAGGGATTTCATGGATTGATGAGGCCATGTTTTTGTTTGGCCACCACTTACTCTTTTACAACCCACAACACCTATATCAGCTAGTAATGCTCGTCCGTCGGGGGAGGCGATGGTTAGGCATGAGTAGCACGTGACCTAGCCATCTCAATCTATGTAACTTTATAGCCTCTTCGATTGATTTTACCTCTTTGCCCAACACTCTACACCTAACCTCACGTCAACATTACTTACCTTATTATGCCACCTAACGTGAGAAAGAGATCGTAGACATCTATGATGGAAAACAGTCAACCTTTTCATGTCTTCTGTCACAGAATGAAAACCATCGACGTCATAAAAAAACAACAGTAGGGATTTAAAACAATTAGACCTTTTCATAAATTTGGATAGTGTGATTAGAAGACGGAGATTATCTGAAAACAATGTGATGTATTTGCGCTATACATTTCGAACAATCTGATCCCTAACACATTTACTTGTCAAGTCGATATATATGAAAAAATTAAGGGCAATTAAATTAGACAAAGTGACAAAAAAAAGAAAGATTTAAGAATGATTAACACAACGTTTGGTAATCCAATCAAATAAGGATTACCAAGGTAGGTTAAGAGTAATAATAAACTGTTTTTGAATACACAGGGGGGGCTTAAGTTTATGAATAGCTATAGCCTCAGCGTATTTCAATAAGCGCCCTTTACCGTTTTTATAGATGACCTTAAAGGCTGAGTTAACATCAATCTTATGGTTCATCTCGATTAGATGTTTAGCTATAGACGAAGTTGGTAGTCTGACACCTGCATCTATTGGTTTCCCACAATTCATTTGTTTTTCTAACCATTTTGGGATATTCGCTCTCCCACCCTCACATGCAAAGCGCGATTACTCCTCCCTACGTATGTGTGTCCACACACACACGAAAATTGGTAAATAGTGTGGGATGTGATATAATCACTTGTGCACTTTTGAGGTTTCCAGTGAAGCATATTTTTAGCTTTTTCCACAATTACAAGCTGGGCTGCATAGTAGGTTCTACGGATGATCGAATTCAACCTTTGTCTCAAAATCCTACTGTTTATTTCCCCGTTATATGGTAATTTGATGAAAACATTTTTCTTAGGGGCGGTATAGATTGTAGGTTTAGAGACTAATTGACTTCTACACCTGTTTAAAAATTGTAAAGGATATCCGTTTTCAACAAGAGTATCCATTAATATTTCGTTTTCTTTGTCTATAACATCAGCAGTGCAAATACGTTGAATCCTCTTAAATAGACATTTCACCAAGCCTCTTTTATACTGTAATGAACAGAAACTATGAAAATTAAGGTATTGCCCTGTCCAAGTGGGTTTTCTGTAGATTGATCGTCTTATTGAACCATCATCTCTTCGACTCAGAAGTATGTCTAAAAATGCAAGCTGGTAGTGACTTTCTTCCTCTCATGTAAGACCTATGTGATTCTGTACAGAGTTAAGTCTGTCTAAAAGACGACTCGCATCTTCATGATCGTCGCATATCAAAATGATATCATCTACATATCTCCTATAGAAGGGCAATTTAGAAATTAAATCAAGGGACAAGTTCTCAACATAAGACATGTAAACGTCCGCTAACAAAGGTCCTAATGGACTCCCCGTAGCAACGCCATTTACTTTTCGAAAATGTTCACCTTCAAACGTGAAATGGACGTTATCAGTAAAAAATAGTAATCCTTATTTGATTGGATTAACAAACGTTGGGTTAATCATTCTTAAATCTTTCTTTTTTGTCACTTTGTTTAATTTGATTGCCCTTAATTTTTTTCAGTCACACAAAATCGAAGACTTACAAGCGAAAATCGACAAACTGGTTGAAGAAGCTGCCAGTGAAGGCAGGACTCCAGGTGAACATAGACAAGACGGAAGTTATGAAAATAACCAACCAACCAACAACAACAACAGCAGCAACATCCAGCGCCAATCACCATCAACAGGAGGGATTTGAAAGAGGTTACTTCATTCACTTATCTAGGGAGCATTGTCTCGACTACAAGAGGAACGGACGAGGATGTCAAATCGAGAATCGGAAAGGCGAGAAACACTTTCATCAACCTGAAACCAATCTGGAAATCTTCGTCACTCAACTCAGCATCAACAACAAAATTCGAAATTTCAATACAAACGCCAAGTCAGTCAGTTCTTCTATACGGATCAGAAACTTGGCCAATGTGTCACAAAGAATATTTCCAACAGCCTGTTGCAGTTATTGATATAAGTATAAAACTTGGGCACTGTGGTAGAGTATAATTCCATGATGGATAAGATTTTATTTTGATAAATCACACAGTGTAGTACAGTTATATTAACTGATGACGTTTCGAGCACAAACTATTGCTCATAATCATATCAAGTTACTCACACAACTTCTTTCCTTCATTTATATACATGTGTGGAATTGATTAGACATTTGAATAAAAATCAACAAACTAATTGAAGAAAGGAACACAGCAAATAAAATTGATGTCAACGCTTCATCCTCTATCGACAAAACAAAGTGGGTGATCAACCTCTCATCAAGGGAACTAAGCTCTAGTGAGATAAAAGTACTTGAGAAAGGACTAAATTTCAATATAACAGTTAACAAATTAAAACCAGAGGATGTCATTCCTAACATAGAAGGAGCGCTAGGTTCAATCGATAAGACAACAGCAGAAGGGGTTCGAGCACAATGTGCATTAACCCTGAAAAATCAAAAGAAGGCAAAATCAAACTTAACAAAATTGGAAAGAGAAGCTTTAATTAGTCTAAAACAGGATAAAAATATTGTCATTCTAAAAGCTGATAAAGGAAACGCCACTGTTGTTTTGAACAAATCTGACTATATCAAAAAAGTTATTGAACATATTCAAACGGGTCCATATGAGGAAATTAAGAAGCCTGTAGATACAATAATGAATAAGGTTAAGAAATCTACAGCAGAACTAATACGTAGAATGAAGCCATCTCTGGGTGAGTCTAAATGGTTTAACTTAATGCCTAAAACTAATAATGCTAGTAGATTATATGGTACTATTAAAATACATAAGCCAGGATACCGAATAAGGCCAATAGTAGATTTTAGAAATACCCCAACTTATGAATTATCAAAACACTTAGCTTTAATACTATGCCCTATCAGAAATAATTCAAACTCTAGATTAACTAATTCATATGAGATGAAAAGTAAACTAAATGACATTCAACTAGCGAATGACGAAACAATGGTCAGTTTTGATATAACTAGTCTAATATACCAGTCAATGTGGCCTTAGAAGCGGTTAAAAGAGAACCAACTTCTGATTCCGAACTTAGTCATAGGACAAAGCTGCCCATTGAAGAAATTATTTTAGGGATTCAGTTATGCCTCACCTCTACTATCTTCAAGTTCCAAGGCAAAATATATAGACAAACAGAAGGTGTAGCAATGGGATCACCAATATCCCCTATTGTAGCAGACATCTTTATGGACAGCTGGGAAAATAGTGCTCTCAATACATTTAATCCTACTCCAAAAATATGGTGGAGATATGTAGATGACACATTCACAGTGTTAAAAACAGAACATATCTCTAGCTTCTTAACACATATAAACTCACAATTAGAAGGAATAAAATTCACATTTGAATCAGAAAATGAACAAGGAGAATTAACCATGTTAGATTGTAAGATAAAACGAATAGAAGAAGGTAAACTACACACTAGTGTTTATAGAAAACCAACGCATTCTAATAGATATTTAGACTTTAATTCGTCTCATCCGTTAACTGTTAAGGCAGGCTTGGTTAAGTGTCTGACAAACCGAGCCATAGCACTAAGTAGCACAAAAAAGGACCTAAATGACGAAATAAAACAGATAGAAGCGTTGGTGTTGAGTAACTATCCTATAAAATTCATTAAGAAGATCAGTAAAGGCCAAAAACAAAATAAAAATAATTGTGTAACTAGTAGTAATAACATAAATGAGAGAATATTTGTCTTCTACTGTTATACCATTTAAAGAGGGGACATCTGAGGCCCTACGTAGGATTCTCAATAAAGCAGGAATTAGGGTGGCATTCAAACCAACAAACTCACTCAGAGACAAACTTTGTAGGTTAAAGGACCCGTTGGACCCAATTAAACAAAATAATATAATTTACAAAATACCCAGCAATGACTGTGAAGTCAACTACATAGGTCAAACTAGTAGGTCAAGGATAGTCAGATTATCAGAACATAAGAATTTAGCTAAGGTAAGGATGGTTGACCCAGAGAAGATAAGTAATTTAGAAAAACGTTCAGCAATTGCACTTCACGCAATAACAAACAACCACACAATAGGGTGGGATAGGGTTAAAATTCTAAAAAGTAATATAGGTAGGTGGAGAGAGAGGTTGATTACGGAATCCTTATTCATCGAATCTACACCCAACACATGCAACAGAAGTGACTCAATGCAAATACCAGAAATATGGAAGATATTATTACCGCCAGTCAAATCAGAAGAGGATGATAAATAATCTTAAAATTCTATTTCCATTCAAGCACATCATAACATTCTAACAATTAACTTATTATGACTATAAAAACACTCGTCGTATTTCCCATCTAATTGCAATGGATTAATAACACTCGTACTATTATTTCTGAATGTACATTATCTCATATTGAATTTTATTCCAATATCTAATCGATTCCACACATGTATATAAATGAAGGAAAGAAGTTGTGTGAGTAACTTGATATGATTATGAGCAATAGTTTGTGCTCGAAACGTCATCAGTTAATATAACTGTACTACACTGTGTGATTTATCAAAATAAAATCTTATCCATTATGGAGCCTGTTGCAGACCTTTATCAACAACAACTGTCTTCGTTCTATACTGAAGATCAGATGGCCGAGCAGAATCATCAACAAGAAACTATGGGAACAAACAAAACAAGAACCAATCGCTCAAAAAATATGCAGTAGAAAGTGGATATGGATTGGACACTCGCTGAGGAGGCCGCTGGGTGACATCGCGCGTCAGGCCATAGCTCGAGTGGAACCCGAAAGGGAAGTGGCGAGTGGGACGTCAGTGCAAGGGTGACATGGAGGAGATCGTGTGAAGAAGAGCTGAAACAGTGTGGACTAACATGGATGCAGGTGAAAAGTACAGCAGAAGACAGAAACAAGTGGGGGCGTGCAGTTGAAGCCCTATGTTCCACTAGGAACCATAGGGAACAATAATTATAATAGTACTTTTTTCATATATATCGACTTGACAAGTAAATGTGTGAGGGATCAGATTGTTCGAAATGCATATAGCGCAAGTACACCACACCCCGTTTTTTTTTCAAATAATCGCTGTCTTCTAATCACAACACTATCCAAACATTAGGGAATATCGAAGAGAAACTTACACTGCTATTCGATCGAAAATGTGTTGTTGTTGTCGCCGTCAATTTTGATATTTTCGTTGTATCAATTGATGAAGACGACATAACATTAGGTTTTGTTAAGATCACGTTGGCTGTTGTCACTTGTTTTTTAAGAAATAATTTAGGCGAAATACTTTTGCAGACATTTCGTTGATTGAATTTATTGATTTCGTCATCAACAACAACATCAGGTTCATCACCGTGATGATGATGATGATGATGATGGTTATATTGTACATTTTCATTGGATGTTGTTATTTTATTCGACAAGGCGGTTAATGATGATGACGATAGTGAAGTAGGCGTTTGTTCAATAATAATATTTGAATTTACCGCGTCGCCGCCAGTTTTTGTTTGAATCATTGAATCATTATCTTTTTCAATGTTCAATGTTACATGGTTCATTGATGTCAGGGTTGAATCATTGTTACAATTACATACCTGAGAAGGGGGAAAAAGTTTCGTTAAAAAAGAAAAACAATGATTCGTATATATGTGGGTAAAACTTGAGCACTGCACTGTGGTAGTAAGTAATTCCATATTAGTTTGTTTATTAGATGTATCACACACACAGTCAGTGAAATAGTATTATTATTTACTGGATGACACAATTTCGAACACAATTTATTATTGTTCATAATCATTTCATCAATTATAATCACACACGACTTCGAAACTTGAGTTTTATAGTTTTCTTTGTTCTCTCCTATTTGTCGTCATTGGGGTAGTAGAATTTTCCAGATATCCGTCTGGGACAGGTGTTGAGTCATTCCTATTACACGCATTCACTTTCAGTTGATTCGATAAACAAAGCTTCTGTTAACAATTTCTACTTCCAACATGTTAGTTGTATTAGATTTTGAAACTGTCATCCTATCCCACCATCCAGCCTATTGTATGGTTGTGTGTAATTGCATGTAGTGTGTGCTATAGCTGAACTTTTCTCTAGATTTCTTATCTTATTCGGTCCAACCAATCTAGATTTTGCTACTGGGTTTTGTGCTCTGCTAGTCTGACTGACTTCCTCTGTTCTACTACTTTGACCTATGTATTTGACCTGACAATCATTCCAGCAGGGTATTAGATGAACTAAATTGTTTTGTTTAATTGTCCGCTCCACAGGATCCACCGTCTAACCGACAAAGCGTGTTTCAAATTGAGTTTGGGGGTTTGAATGTCAGCCACTTTTATTCCTGCCTTAATGTAATGCTTAATGTAAGTAACCATATTTGATCTGATCGATAGATTACATTCAGTCAACATACATGACACACACCTAGGGCGTGTAGACAAATAACATTTTGTTTATCTCGACCGATGTGTGATTCACCGATAGGTTGATTCAATAACAAATTGGAAATACGAAATAATCGATAATATTACAGGGAAAAAACAAGAGTAACCACAAAACTTCGCCCACCCCACCCCAGCCACTGGCACCTTCTATGAAAACAAAATATGTCGAAAAATGTAACTACTAGATGTTAATGCCTTGCCTTAGCAAGGAGGCAGTTAGAACAGATGGTGACAATAAATGAAAATGAAAACGGGGGAAGCCAGTAGAAAAAAAGAAGAAGAGGATAAACAAAGAGGGAGTGTGCACGACTGTGATACGCGTGTGTAGGAGAAAACTAACAGACAAGCAAACATAAGGATAGGTATATTTTTTTCCTTCACGTTCCCAGTGGACCATATCGCTTCAAGCTTGTGGCTTCAAGTTTCTGTAGCAGTGTTTATTTTACAGGATGGGGTTGCTAGCCTCATGCCCAACCTTTCCTCTTCACCAGCATTATTTCTGGCTTAGAGAGGTAAAGGAGTGCGCCAGCCGGGGATCGAACCCCGGACCATGTGCATGGTCGGTGAGCGTCCTAACCGCTATGCCACCGACGCACAATAGGTGTATTTGGTAGGCCTTATATATATATATATATATATATATATATACATGTAATTGGTTATACGACAACAATTATACATCTCATCCAACAGTTGTACGACAATACTGCATGCCAATTAATCCACAATGGGAAACTCATGAAATCCTTCGAAGAAGTGAAAACGAGAGTAAGACAAGGGCTGGCTGGCTACCTACTATCTCCAATGATTTTTCTGATTGCGGTAACAAGGAGATTAGGCATAAAATGGACCTATACAAAATACCTGGAGGATCTGAACTTCGCCGATGTGATATATGTCTGATTTCTCACAAACTTGAAGATTGGCAAGTGAAAAGCAACAAGTCGGCAGAAGAAGCATCCAGATAAGATAGGATATCCTTCAAGCGAACATATAGAAAACAGAGGTGATGACGATTTCCGGCAAACAGCAACAACAACAGACAACAATCAGAATAAATGGGAGAAATCTGAGAGAAGCAACCTCCTTTACCTACCTACCTACCTGGGAAGCATCGTTTCAACTACAGACGGACGGAACTGACGAGGATATCAAAGCAAGAATCGGAAAAGTAAGACAAGCTTTAATTACTCTCAAGTCTGTGTGGAGATCAACAGCACTACTCAGCATGGAATAAAAATAAGATCTGGATTTTCAACTCCAATGTGAAGTCAGTGCTACTTAATATACGGATCAGAGACTTGCAGCGCGTCATGAAGAGCACTTCGAACAATCTACAGACCTTCAATAATAGCTGTGTTCACTCAATACTACTCAAGATCAGATGGCTGGCCAGAAACGGTCAGCAACAGGGATCTCTGAGAGCGAACCAACCCAGCAGGAACCGATTGTGCTACAAATATGCAGAGAGAAATGGAGGTAGTTGGATTGACCATACTCTGAGAAAAAATAGCGTCAAGTGACATCACAAGCCAGGCTCTCTCTTGAATGGAATGGGAATGGGAAGCAGAGAGTTGTTCGTCAGTGTGAGGGTGACATGGAAGGAGGTCATGTGAAGAGGAGATGAAAGCATGTGGGCAAACGTGGAGTCAGGTGAAAACGTTGGCAAAGAATCGAACGCAATGGAGACGTGCGGCTGAATCCCTATGTTCCTCTAGGAACTAAAGGAAACAATAATAATATAATAATATACGACAGTTGGAAAATGTCATCTCTCATTTTGACCGAAACGAAACCAAACTGTTGTGTAATAATTGATAGTAAGTAGAAAAATAGAAATATTTGCTAACTGGTTATTTTCGTATGTGTGTATTTACTATCGTAAAATTGTACAACGTAGTAAGTGGGAACCATCTTCGTGACTAGTAGTCGATTTACATCTGTATCGATCATTTTTTATTGACTTGGAATTTAAATTTTCTTGTCGTGTGATTTACTTTCTATTAGTTGGTAAATTTGGTCTATAGTCATGTGTGTTTGTTAATCGCTGATTCCTTTGAGTACCAGGCTTAGCTTCTAGGAATTCTCTGACTGCAGTTTTGGTGTTTTCCCTATTTAAAATTTCGACATTATCCCAATCATCAAATTGATGTTCATAATTATCTATATGCGACTTAGGACTCTGCAAAAACTGGCGATGAATCATGCTTCTGTCGACGCCAAGTAAAATCCTGAGTCGCATTATCCTGGAGAGAATAAGGGACGCACTGGATACAGAACTCCCACGACAACAAGCTGGATTCAGGAAAGGCAGATCATGTTTTGACCAAATTGCAACTCTAAGCATAATCATCGAACAAAGCATGGAATGGCAATCAAACCTCTACCTCAACTTCATTCATAGACTTTGAGAGGGCCTTCGACAGCGTTGACCGCGAAGTAATTTGGAAACTACTCGAGTACTACGGCGTACCCCAAATATTCATCAACCTTATTCAACAGCTGTACGACAACGGCACATGTCAAGTCATCCACAACGGAAAACTCAGCGAGGCGTTTGGAGTAAACACAGGAGTCAGACAAAGGTGCTTATTATCACCAATGATATTCCTAATTGTGGTGGACTGGATTATGCGTCAGACAGTGGGAAACGAGAAGAAAGGGATATCCTGGACCGACATGAAGAACCTAGAAGACCTGGATTTCGCGCGTGGATGATTTATGTTTGATGTCACACAAAATCGAAGACTTACAAGCGAAAACCGACAAACTGGTCAAAGAAGCAGCAAAGACAGGACTCCAGGTGAACATAGACAAGATGGAGGTTATGAAAATAACCAACCAACAACAACAACAACAGCATCGAGCAACATCCACCATCAACAGGAGGGATTTCAAAGAGGTTACTTCATTCACTTATCTAGCGAGCATTGTCTCAACTACAGGAGGAACGGACGAGGATGTCAAATCGAGAATCGGGAAGGCGAGAAACACATTCATCAACCTGAAACCAATCTGGAAATCTTCGTCACTTCACTCAGCCTGCATCAACAACAAAATTCGGATTTTCAATACAAACGTCAACTCAGTCAGTTCTTCTATACGGATCAGAAACTTGGCCAGTGTGTCACAAAGAATATTTCCAACAGCCTGTTGCAGACCTTTATCAACAACAACTGTCTTCGTTCTATACTCAAGAGCAGATGGCCGACCGGAAAGAATCACCAACAAGAAACTATGGGAAAAAAGAAAACAAGAACCAATCACTCAACAAATATGCAGGAGAAAGTGGAGATGGATTGGACACTCACTCGCTGAGGAGGCCACTCGCTGGGTGACATCGCGCGTCAGGCCCTCGAGTGGAACTCGAAAGGGAAGCGGCGAGTGGGACGTCAGTGCAAGGGTGACATGGAGGAGATCGTGTGAAGAAGAGTTGAAACAGTATGGACTAACATGGATGCAAATGAAAAGTACGGCAGAAGACAGAAGCAAGTGGAGACGTGCAGTTGAAGGTCTATGTTCCACTAGGAACCCAAGGGAACAATAATAATAATAAATTGATATGAAATAATACATATCGTCCTACTGGACACAAAAGCAAGAAGAGGAGCAGACGTTGGCTCAGACCACTATCTCGTACAAGGAACAATCCAACTCAAATTAAAAGCTTTCAGAGAATCAGGAGCTGCAGATAGGCCACAAGCCAAGTTCAACACTCAAAAACTGAAGGACCAGGATACAAAGGATATCTTTACTGCAAGTATAAAGGACAAAGCTGAGACACAAATCAACATTAGCGAAGAGGTCAGCGTCGAAAAACACTGGGACAACCTGAAAACAGTATGGAGCGAAACCTGCATGGACGTTCTGGGCAGAAAGAAGAGACAGGACAAACCGTGGCTCACTACGGACACTTGGAGGCTAATAGAAGAGAGAAGGATGGTGAAACAAAAGATTCTCCAGTGCACCGACGAGCAACAGAAACAGGAGTTGAATGCAAGCTACAAAATACTGAACAAAGGAGTAAAGAAGAGTGCCAGAGAAGACAAAACAAAATATTATGAAGCCATGGCAAATAAAGCAGAACAAGCAGCAGGCAAAGGAGACCTCGCAACACTCTACCGAACAACTAGGCACCTCTCAGGCAAAAATTCGTCACAAATTAAGCCAGTGAAGGATGACAATGGAAAGTCAATCACCAAAGAAGTGGAGCAAAGGAAACACTGGGCTGAACACTTCAAAAGACTACTAAACCGACCGCCACCTACAACGCGCCCAACAATACCAACAACGGAAGCAGAATTACCAGTGAACATCAACCCCCTGACGAAAACAGAAGTCCTGAAGGCAATCAAGATGCTGAAAGCTGGAAAAGCAGCAGGACCAGATGGAATCCCAGCAGAAGCATTGAAAGTGGACCCAGAGACAACAGCGGACTTGATGACGCCACTACTGGAGAAGGTGTGGAAAGAAGGCAAAGTACCCGAGGATTGGAAGAAAGGATACTTATTCAAGTTACCAAAGAAAGGAGACTTAAGTCAATGCAAGAACTGGCGCGGAATTATGCTCCTTTCCATCCCAAACAAAATACTAAGCCGCATCATCCTGGAAAGGATCAAACAAGCCCTGGATGAAAAACTTCGACCAGAACAAGCTGGATTCAGGAGAAACAAGTCATGTATTGATCAAATCGCCACACTACGGATCATCATTGAACAAAGTTTGGAATGGCAGTCACCTCTCTATCTCAACTTCATCGACTTTGAAAAGGCCTTCGACAGCGTCGATCGAGAGGTGATTTGGCAACTACTTCGCTACTACGGGGTGCCACCGACAATAATACATCTCATCCAACAGTTGTATGACAACGCTGCATGCCAAGTAATCCACAACGGGAAGCTCACAGACAGCAATCAGCATAAATGGAAAGAACCTGAAAGAAACAACCTCCTTTACCTACTTGGGAAGCATTGTTTCAACTACAGGCGGAACTGACGAGGACATCAAAGCAAGGATCGGGAAAGCAAGGCAAGCTTTCATTACTCTCAAGTCTGTGTGGAGATCAACATCATTCAGCGTCAAAAATAAAATCGGGATTTTCAACTCCAATGTAAAGTCAGTACTACTATACGGATCAGAGACTTGGCGTGTCACAAAAAGCACCTCAAACAAGCTACAGACCTTCATTAACAGATGTCTTCGCTCAATACTCAAGATCAGATGGCCGGAAAGGATCAGCAACAAAGATCTCTGGGAGCGAACCAACCAGGAACCGATTGTGAAACAAATAGGCAGGAAGAAATGGAGATGGATTGGCCACACTCTGAGGAAACCATCAAGTGACATCACTAGACAAGCCATTGCTCGAGTGGAACCCGAAAGGGAAGCGACGAGTTGGTCGTCCAAGGGTGACCTGGAGGAGATCATGTGAAGAGGAGATGAAAGCATGTGGGCAGACCTGGAGCCAGGTGAAAACTCTAGCAGAGAACCGAACGCAATGGAGACGCACGACTGAAGCCCTATGTTCCTCTAGGAACTAAAGGAAATAATAATAATAATAATACATATCTTGTCTTTTCATCACAGCTAATTTGTGTTCTTGTATTCGGATTTGAAAGAGACGAAGATGCTTGCCAGGAGATACAATTCCATCATTCATGGAGAATTCTAATCAGTTCATTTTATTTAATTGAATTTTAGATTTTACCGTCGATTGATTGGACCGAAGTGCTCGGTCTCAGGTTGACAAGTTGTTGGCTTCTTGTGCAGATGCTTTGACGATGTCTAGGCATGTAATTAGAATTTAATTGGTGGATGGTGACTAGCAGTGGAATCCAGGATAACGCGCATTTCATCCTAAAATTCAATTAAATAATTAATATGACCCGTTGCACAAGAATGAGTGGCTCTCGTGTCCCAAGTGGTCTAGTGGATAACGCTTTGGCATTTGAAATTATGGACACTGGGTTCGAGCCTCGGTGATGGGAACATCAGCACTCACTCACTGGGGAATGCAGGCACATCCAGTTGGCTAACGAGTCCCAAATAGGACGAAATGCGCGTTATCCTGGATTCCACTGCTAGTCACCATCCACCAATTAAATTCCAGTTCATTTTATGCTAAAACTTGCATTGAAAATGTTCTCCAGAAGGACGACGAAAGCTTCGCAATTGAACCAACCAGCTAGCTCAGAGAACACAACTAATTCTAAATCATCCACCTGAGCTACAAATCTTCTCTATTAACTTATCCTTTGACCATCGTTAACATAAACATGTTCCCTATATACACTACTTACCGATCAATAAACCAGGTCCGAGTTATTCCACAATCTCCAGAAGTTTCATTAATGACTGACAGTGGGACTTTCATCAAATAAATGTGCACACTGTGCTGTACTTCACATGTCAGGGGATTCACAAAGGAAAGCTCACTGAAACCTTGGAAAGTGAAATTGGAGTAGGACAAGGCTGCCTACTATCACCAATGATATTTCTCATTGTGGATGACTGAATTAGGCAACAGACTGTGAAGTGCGAGAAGATGGACATAGACTGGACCGACAACAGATACTGGAAGATTTGGACTTCGTGGATGGTTTGTGTCTAATGACGCACACACACACACACACACGAAGATGTACAGGTGAAAACCAAAAAGTTGGCAGTAGAAGCAGTGAAGACAGGACTTTAAGTGAACATTGATTAGACAGAGATAATAAAGATACCCAACCACCACCCCCAACAACAACAAGCACCAATCATCATGAACAGAAGAAAATCTACAGAAGGTAGTCTCTTTCTACATAGCCATCAACCTGTTGGCCAGCATTATCTCAGCTACAGGCAGCACAGATGAAGATATCGAAGCTAGGCAGCATCGAAAAAAACAGGACAGGTTTCTCATTATTCTAAAAATCACTCCGAAGAACAACAATATCCAGAGGAGAATGATACTCGGGGAGGCTCGTGTGCTCTTGGAAGTGTGTGGGCGGTTGTTACTTCCTGGATGCCCACACCGTGGAAGTTGATTTTCCTTCTTCGGGTACCTGAAACAGAAAGAGGGTTAGTGTTGCTTGACCGCAGAGCCCAAGCGACAACTGCTTGAGGCCAGCCGGTCACACACAGCCTGTATGAACTGGTTTCTGGGATTGGTTCCGTATTAGTAAACTTGTGGTGAGAGCTGTCTCCTAGCCAAATTGGTAGACAGTAATTTACGTCAATATAGACTGATTCAACAACCAATCACAGCAGACTTTGCGTAAGCGGATACAATTTGCAGATAGATAATCTGAACTTCAAGAAACGGCCACAAAGAGATGAAAGATTAACTTTTAGTGAGAAACCACCACCAATCAGAGGACTGTGTTTGTTTGTTAACAATAATCTATGATAATGTACATGAAAATCTATAAATATGTGTTGATTTCCTTAATAAACGATCTGTTGCCTGGCTCTTGTCTTCTGTTGTTATAAACTTACCGCCGGTTACGGACCACCGTAGGGTAAATCGGGATGTACAATTTTTGGCGTCGACATGCTGGTCATCTCAGGGAAACACCTCACTGCTGTTACATCTCTGTTCCCCAGCAGTAAAACTTCGCCCACAGACCCCCAACATAGTGTAAATAACAAAAATTCCTACACTATTCCGGTAACTGCTTTTAGTCCTAGCATGGTAGGACCTGCAAGAACAATAGCTCCAGCCAGTGTAGCTTGTTGGGTCATTGCGATGTGCAAGACCGAGACCACCACATCAAGGTAGCAGCTATCGGTCAGGAATACCCAGAGTAGGGGACAAGATAAGAATTTTTAATACCAACTGCAAGTCAGTGCTTCTTATATGATTAAGACAGTGGGAGCGAGCGTCACAAAAAGCATTTTCAACGTTCACCAACACCTGTATATCAGATGACCGTCTGGGAAGAATATAAGCGACAAGGAAGTCTAGGAACGAGCCAAAAAAATGTAGCTAACGCCCAGAAGAAAACGTAGATGGACTGAACATTGAGTAACATCACGTACCAGCCAGGTCGTCAAGTGAAGGCTAAAATAGGAACTGATAAGTTGAGCATTTCTCCGCAGGTGACATAGAGGATCGTGCGGGAGGGGGGGAGGATGAAGACTTATCCACCGTTGTGGCTGCAGTGAACAGAGTGGCATGGAGATGATGTACTACTGCTAGAGCGCCATATTCTTCTCAGAACCCAGGGGAATAACCATAATTATTATTATAATACAATACACGATACTTACTTGATCTGGTTGATGGATATATGAATCATTCGCCATGTTTACTCCATTCCTGTGGTGTAATGCTTCACGTGATGGCGATGCCGAAGGTGATGATGGTGATGCCGAGGGTGATGATGCCGACGATGAAGATAATGGTACCATATCGTAAATATGTTCATTATCAGAATTATTTAATTTATCCAAACTTATTGATTTATGATCATAGATCTTCTTATCTTTTGATGAATAGCCATTCGTCTTGTTGTTGTTGACGTTGTAGTTTGTTGTCAGGCTACTGTTGTTTGCAATCGATAATGACGAGGAGTATGACTGAAAAGTCTAGTTTTTTTCGGCAAAGATAAAGAAAAAAAAGAAAAAGTACAGATGAAGTACCTAGACTAGCTAGCCACTTCTAATTGTATCTATCAATTCAACTGCGCTTGTGGAGCGAGTTATATTGGCCGTTGCTCTAGGAACTTGATTTTTCGTGCTCTCTCGAGAACACCTCCCACTATGGCTAAGTAAAGGTGTAGTTAAAACTATTAACAACTCGATATTAGACCATTTGGTGCAAACCGGTCACAAAGCCAGCCAGCGTAGAAGAATCCTTCTCCACAAAGTACCGGGTGCCTAACAAACTACCAAAATCGTCGAAGCACCGCTTGCTCAAAACAGCAGAGGCTATTGCAATTCGCCTCAAGCAACCAGTGCTCTGTGTCCAAAAGAAACAAGTCCAGCCCCTACTACTGCCCTGGCCGTCATCAGTAGAGACTATGAACTCATGAATTTGTACTATTACCTTCCCTAATTCTTCTGACATTCAGTTTATTTGATGTTGATGCTGTTCAGCTGTAATTTATCAATATTATTAATTTGATGTTATTTAAACAACATTAATGTCGTTCATAAGACTAATTCATTCATTCATTATAATGTATATATAATTGTAGAACCTGATGATGAATTTATCGAAAAGAGTACTCTTTGTTCCGTGTGTATTCTTTTGAAAATTTAAATGAGCATTTTTAATCAATAGTTTGATTTGTAAGGATTAGTTTTGTGTTTACGAGTTTGCCGACGGATTGATTTCACAATTAGAGAACCACTAGGAAACCAGCACTAGAGTACTGTCAGAGAGCTGTTCCATCAGCCTGGTTTGGGACTCATCTGCAGTACGCACCCATTAGAAGTTAGAATTCATGGGCTCGTCATTGAGTCGCCAGCGGTTGAATGGTGTATACGAGCTAGGTTGCTTTGTAACCTGAAGGTCTTGGGTTCGAACCTCAGCGGGTGCCGATAATTCCAAACCTAAGCTGATGGGACAGCTGTCGTCCAGTACTCCAGTGCTGGTTTTCAATGGTTCTCTAACTGTGATATCAATCCGTGATCAACTCGTAAAAACAAACAAAAAATACATATATAAATACACACAAAAACAAATTATAAACTCTGCGTAAAAAATATAAATCAGCCCCCCACCCACCCAAAAGAAAGATAGTAGCGATTACAAATTCTTTGTTTTCTACATACAATGTCTGACTGACTGGTTTCAACATGGAGCTTTACCAGATAGGCACCAGTTCCAGTTGTCACACTCCACTCCATGTACCACACAAAGCAAGAGAAAACAGTAAAGAGAGATTCATAAGTGGCGAGTATTTGTCCTCACACCAGACCTGCTGCACCCTACTGGTCACGACTTCTCACTCGCCAAAGACATTGGCTATTGGTCGCACCATGTCGTGAATTGGCAGAAGTTAGAATTCATGGACTGGCCATTGGATCAGGTCCCAGTGGCTTAATGGTCTACTTGCTCGGTGACCTTGTAACCAGAAGGTCCTGAGTCCGAACCTCCTGTGGCGGGCGTGTACTGATGAAGAGTCATGAACTAGGACGAAACAGCTGTCCAGTACTCCCAGGTTTTCCAATGATTCTCTAACTAATGTCAGCTCATGATGAAATCCTGTAACCAATCAAATCCCTACAAACCAACACTTGGAAATGTAGGTGGATTGGACATATGTTGAGGAGAACGTTGAGTGACATCATGCGGAATCCGAATGAGAGAGAGAGAGAGACTGACTACAAGTTGGCTTTCTGGGTGTGATAAGGAGGAGAAGATCGTGTGAAGGATAGAGTAAGCTTATGGACAGTCGTGGAGTCATTTAAAAAAGACTTCAGACAAACAGAATGAAATGACGATGTTCCTCTGAAGTCATATGTTCAACTCGTAACCCAAGAGAATAATACTAATAATTATGATAATCATTTCAGCAGGCCAATGTCAGAAGAGCGTTTATTAATGCAGTGAATAAATTATCTGTATTCATCCACAGTTTAATGTTCTTATTAGCCATGGTTATCTAGCTAGTGACGCCCAATCAGTGTTTATACATTTCTTGATAATTGACTGTGACAGACAGACAGACAGACAGACTGACTGACTGACTGACTGACTGACTGACTGATTGACTGACTGACTGGTTTCAACATGGAGCTTTACACAGATGTGCACCGATTCCAGTTGTCACACACTCCACTCCATGTAACACACAAAGCAAGAGAAGACAGTAAACTGATGTTCAAAAGACAGATAGATAATAAACAGAAGTGTGAGTGAGGGACGAAGAATAGTAACATGGAAGAAGAATAGAATTTTATTGGATATGACTGGCAAATCACAGACACTGAGAATGATTTTGAGCCATATCACCGATTGCCTCCAGCCTTCATTGGTTTTTACTATCCTGAAGGTCCCAACCAGTCAGTCAGGCAGTCTACACCTCCCTTCCTACGTGACTCGCTGACTGGCTTAAACTAACTGTTATGGATTTCATTGACTGATGAAGTCATGTTTTGGTTTAACCACCCCACCACTGACTCTTTTCTAACCTGATCCATCCTATGTCAGTCAGCTAACATTGACCTGACCGTCGAGGAAGGCGATGGGTTCCATCCACTGTTAGTCAACAGCCACCAGATTACTTCAGGTTAAATAATCAGACATCGTCGAAGCATCCGCACAAGGAGTCGACATATCAACAAAGACCGAGCACTTCGGCCCAATCAGTCAACCGGAAACTCCAAAATTTAATTAAATCATTTACACTACAAAGTCAATCTGAACGAAGAATATTCCTTTCAATATATCCTTCTCTTCAGGTTCTTAAAATTATAAAATATAATATATTTGTTGTTGTTTTCTCAATATATGCCTTCCTCCACCTGTTTCATTTCACACATCCGTTATTTCATTACAAACCGCTTTCATTATAGTCTTACCATCTCCTCCTCTTTAATACATACCACTTTGTACTAGCCACTCACTCACCTGACACCTTTTATAACCTTGAACTAACTTATTTGTCTTTCCCGATGAATGTTTTTCATTCATTGGGAAATACAAGAAAACCTTTATTATAATGAATATCATATACCCAATGCCCAAATTTTTTCAAACCGTTAAAAGTGAACTTGGTTTGGACATCTATAACTTATTTGTCAATTTTTCTACCCCACACTCTACAAATCCATTTTGACTAATCACCACCATTGTCTCCCATTTCACCGAAATATTTTGCAATCGATTTCAGCCCAGGGCACGTTTGTCACACAGATACGACTGCTTATTTTGACACCCATAACTAATTTGTTATTCCACGTAAATTTAATCTGAACAAAGAATATTCTTTTCAATAATTTCTCCTCTTCAGGTTCTTACAATTATAAAATATAATATATTTGTTGTCGTTACAATAATGATAGCCGGTTAGTTGTGTGGCGGATACATTTTTTAACGTAGAATAACAGATTAGCAGTTATGGGGTGTCAAAATAAATAGTCGTATTTGTGTGACAACTATTTACCCACACACACAAACACACTCTGTTCAAAGTATTTAACAAAGATAGACCAATATTTGTATGCCCGAGGTCAAAATTTCGATCGCAGCCCATACAATTTTTACGAGTTGATCACGGATTAATATCACTTAGAGAACCATTGAAAACCAGCACTAGAGTACTGGACAGCTGCTGTTTCATCCTAGTTTGGAAACCATCGGCAGTACGCACCCACTGGGATTCGAACGCAGTACCTTCCGGTTACAAGGCGAGCTCGTATACCATTCAGCCACTGGGATCCAATTTAATGGCTCATACAATTTTGTTCATTATACATGTTGATACCTGTTTCATGATTCATATGAATGGACAAAGTTTTTAAAAACAAGAGATGTTCCTTTTCTGCATATAAACCTCTTTTATGTTAATTTCGATTAATTTCCCTGAAGAAGTTGGTACGAGATTGACGAACGTAGGAAACGTTGGAATTAATCATTTCAATCTCGCTGATACTTAACAAACATAATTTTTAAAAATGTCTACTTCTCACTCGGCGCCCAAATATTTTAGAACTATTCGGTCAAATGTTGACGATAGTTCATTTGAATTAATACATGTTTTCTATGATTGGTTTGTAAGGAATAGATTTGTTTTTACGAGTTGATCACGGATTGATATCACAGTTAGAGAACCATTGAACCATCCAGCACTAGAGTACCGGACAGCTGCTGTATCATCCTAGCTTGGGAATCATCGGCAAAAACAGTAATACATGTTTTTTGGTTACAGGATTTCATCATGAGCTGACATTAGTTAGAGAACCATTGGAAAACCTGCCGGGGAGTACTGGACAGCTGTTTCGTCCTAGTTTGAGACTCTTCATCAGTACGCACCCACCAAAGGGGGTTCGAACCCAGGACCTTCTGGTTACAAGGCGAGCTCGCATACCATTAAGCCACTGGGACCCGATCCAATGGCCAGTGCATGAATTCTAACTTCTGCCAGATCACCAATACTTGAATACATGTTTTTGTTTGTTTGTTCTGTTTTAATAAAAATAAATCAATATGATACAACCGACGATTATAGCAGTTTGTGAAAATATCTAACAATGAATGACGTTCATAATCACATCACATGTGCTTGTCTCTCTCTCATTCTTTCTGTGACTTCAATTACAAAACACACGATATCTTGGAGACAGCCAGACAGACTCAGAGGGGGGAGGAAAAACAAACAAACAAACGCACAAAAGATTTCTCTTCAATGACACATGCAAAACTGGTTTCTCATCTTTCAAAGTTAAAAATCAGCAAAGAACAAAGCCGTAATACAACACATATAAAAGCAAGCAGCATCATCCGACCAAAACGCGCATATTTTAATCAAGCCTCCTCATGAACATGAGTGTGTGTGTGTGTGTACGTGTGTTTGATTAATGTGACATGAAATCTGCTATCATACATATGGTGGTAGAGTTGATTTGTTTTCAGGAAAACAAAAAGACAAAAAAAAAATGAGAAGAAACAAGAGAGACGGAGAAGAAAGAGGGCGAGCAAGCGTTATTAGCTTGCCATAAGGCCCCTTTATTTTTCTCCTTTTCCTTTTCTCTTTTTCTGTCTATTCAGTCAGCGTGTAAATTCATTTCAGACAAAGAGAACACTGAAGCGAAAAACGCCTGATAAACGATTGTTTATCAAAACATAGAAAGAAGATAGTGATCAGTTAATCAAGATTGATTATTTGCAATCTGATTTGAGATTGCTGATGAGCACGGATATAGAGAGGCTTGTTCGACATTTGTCAGATAACTTACACCATCTCTGGCTTAGTAGATGTGATATCCAGTTGGCTGCGCAGCATAGCGTATCAGTTCCTTCCGTCCTCCTTTATGGCTGTAAGTGAGATATGAAAGCCATTGAAAGTGGAAGACTTGAACAGGCAGGCTAGCTGTCTTTTTGATCATTGGTGTCTGTGTTCTATTATTTCCCGTCTTAAATAGTATAACAGAGTATTATTGACGTTAGGCGTGGAGTGCTATGAAAGGGAGAGGGGAAATCAATCGAGAAGTTTGTGAAGTTACATCGATTCAGAGATGGTTAGGCCATGTGTTACTGTGGTGAGAGCTGGTTGCTAGCCAAAGTTGGTAGACAGTAATTGACGTCAATGTTTATATCCCCAATATTGGTGGTGAGAAAATGAGAACAAAGGCTTTGCGTAGGCGGATACAGTTAGCATATGAATGATCTGACACAGCCACAAAGAGATGCAAGGTTAACTCTCTGTGAGAAACAACCAATCAAAAGACTGTATTGTCTACTAACAATAATCTACAATAATGTACATTAAAATCTATAAATATGTGTTGATTTTCCTTAATAAACTATCTGTTGCCTGGCCCTTGTCTTCTGTTGTTACAATACTACTCATGCCTAGCCATCGCCTTCCTCGACGGTCAGGGCAATGTTGGCTTACATAAGATGGATCAGGTTAGAAAAGAGTCAGTGGTGGGGTGGTGGTCAAACCAAAACATGGATTCATCAGTCATTGATATCCATAACAATTAGTTTAAACCAGCCAGCTAGCCAGTCAGTCACGTAGGGAGGGAGGTGTAGACTTCCTCGCGATAGTAAAAGCCAATGAAGGCTGGAGACAATTGGTGATATGGCTCAAAATCGTTGTCAATGGCTGGCACAGATGCACTCACTCTTTGTAATTTCCCAGTCATATCCAATAAAATTCTATTATTCTTCCATGTTACTATTCTTCGTCCCTCACTCACACTTGTGTTTATTATCTATCTGTCTTTTGAACGTTGGTTTACTCTCTTCTCTTGCTTTGTGTGTTACATGGAGTGGAGTGTGGCATCTGTGTAAAGCTCCATGTTGAAACCAGTCATTCAGACAATGTATACAGAAAACAAAGAAGTTGTAATCGCTGGCTTAGACTAACTGTTGTGGATTTCATTGACTGGTGAAGCCATGTTTGGTTTGACCGCCGCTAGCTCTTTTCCAACCTGACCCAATGTCAGCTAACATTGCCCGGAGGTCGAGGAAGGCGATAACTAGTCATACGTAATATATGTTCTGACCATCTCAGTCGATGTAACTTCATAGCCTCGTCGATTGATTCCCCCTCCCACCTACCTAGCAATCGACGCCTAGGTATATATATATATATGTATATATATATTCTACTCGGAACCCAAGAATTGAGTGATCACTACAAGACTCTTCAAACCTTTAGGAATTGACGTCACACACAAACCAACAAAGTCACTTCACTCAGGTGTCTCTGTGTCAACCAAAAGACTGAACAGCGAAAGAAGATAAAACCAACATCATCTACAAAATAAGTTGCAACGACTGCGAAGAACACTACATTGGCCAAAGTGGACGTCCCCTTCGTCTTCATATCCACGAACATAAGCTAGCCGTCAAAAGAAATGATATCCACTCTCTCACATCACTCACTGCATTCAGACAACCACGGACATCAATTCGACTGGGACAACCAATGTTCAAATATTAGACAGAGGAAACAACAAGAATGCTAGAGAATTTTTAGAAGGTTAGCATTACAGTGAATCATCAATCAATAGACACATCGAGATAGACAAAATTTATCAACCGATAAAAAAGAAATCTCACACACAAAGGGTCAAAGTTCAAGTCAAAGAAACAATCAGTTCTAATACAAGTAGCCTACAGGGTGTGAAAACACAGAAACACAACCAAATAGTCACGTTCAAGGTGGTCACCAGGACAGATGATTAATAAACTCGTGTAGAAATCTAAAAGCTCACTTCCTTCAAATTGAAGTATGCGCTGAAGATGTCGCCTAGTAGGGCGATGAAAGCTCCACAAATTAAGTAACCAGCTCAGAGAACAGAACCATGTCAAAATCATCCATGTGAGCTACAAATCTTCTCTATCATATCTAAATTATTTAATAAAAAACACGCAATAATTACATGAACAAAAAGCGAGATAATTTTATATATAATCACACACTTACTGATGTAATACAACTACTACTGATTGTTTGTGCCTTCTTACTGATCACTTCATGATCTGAGTTGACACCGGTTTCATGTATATCATCACAATCACTTTCAGGACTCATATACGGTTCATCATAATCATTTGGATTCGACTGGGATACATCTGAGGACGGTAGACCAGTTAGCGAGGCTGACTGTTTCAATTGTGGTAAGAGTAAGCCAGTGCTGCTGTTCGTGGTTGTGGTGGTGGTGTTGGTGGCGTTATTATTGTTCAGTCCAACTTTACAACAGCTAACAGGATTATGAAAACCTGGATTATAATGCACTGTATAGTAGGATGTATTCCCACCACCAGCAACTGATGTATACTGATGAGAATGATGAACTGGACTCAGAGATGATGATGATGATGATGGTTGTTCTCTGTCATGATCAAACTTTTTACTCTTATGATGCTTAGGACTCGATGAAGACGGTGAAATATTTGACTGCATTATACTACTACTACTACCGCCTTTTTGATGGTGTGATAAACTGTTGTAATGATTGTTAGTATTCATTACAATTGTATGTGTATGACTGACTGATGTTGTTTTATCATACTGTTTACATTCATTGGATGTGATCTGTTGTAAAGCCCGTGAAATATCATCCAGTATCCTTGGTAGTGAGCATAATTCCTCGGGTAAACTGGTTACAATAGTAGGGCAAACAGGTTTCTTGGGGGAAAAAAAGAAAGAAAAAACAAAACAAAATGCAATACTACAATACAGTGAGTAGATCATACAAGCAAATATTCGAATCAGGGGGTGACAAGGTCAACTCTCTCGCTCTATGTCTGTCTGTCTGGATTCAACATAGAACTTGGCACCGAAGTGCAGCAGTTCGACTTGCCACGTTCCAAATACCACACAAAGGTAGACAAGAAAATAAGTGAAGGGAATCAATCGAGTTTTGACAAGTATAAGAGTGAAACAGAATGAGTAATGGTAGAAAGGAATATGAAAGATTACCCAAGAGACTGAATACATCTGCGTAAGCCATTGACAACGATTTTGAACCATGTCACCTATTGTCTCCAGCCATTGATTCTTAGAGTCCCGAGGGCGGGTCCCAACCCGGAAGTCTGCATCTCCCTCCCTACCTGACTCAGTTTAACTGTCAGGGATTTCATGGATTGATGAGGCCATGTTTTTGTTTGGCCACCACCACTTACTCTTTTCCAACCTGCACCTACCTATATCAGCTAGTAATGCCCTTCTGTCGGGGGAGGCGATGGTTAGGCATGCGCAGCACGTCACCTAGCCATCTCAATCTATGTAACTTTATAGCCTGGTCGATTGATTTTCCCTCTTTGACCAACCAACACTCTACGCCTAAAGTCAACATTACTTACCTTATTATACCACCTAACGTGAGAAAGAGATCGTAGACATCTATGATCAAAAACAGTCAACCTATTCATGTTTTCAACTCGTATTGGCCATGTTTCAGAGCCATAGAGAAGGACGGAGCGAGCTACTGAGCAGTACACACGTCCCTTGGTTGATAGCTGGATGTCACGCCTACGCCAGACATGGCGTAAGTTAGCGAAAGCAGCTCGAGCTTTTTGGATCCGTGCTGAGATTTCGTCACCAATCAGTAGTCCGTTGGTGCTGATACAACTTCCCAAATAGGTGAAGTGGTCAACATGTTCTATCACTTCACTCCCTATCACTAAGCTAGGAATTGACGTAGTTCAGTCCTGTAGCAGCATCTTACATTTTACAGGGGCGAATCGCATACCAAACATACGAAGATTGCTGCTCAAGGTGTTCAGAAGACTCGCTCTCTCTCTCCCTTTCGGTGACTCCGCGCTAACGTCAAGCTAAATTTTATTACAGCTCAGACTAGTTCAGTAAATTAAAACCAAATCAGTCACTGTAATAACAGAAATAGTACCACTTCCAAGTTCTGAAACTCTAAGATGGTGTATACGCGTTGTGTGAGTGTATGGAGTCATCATTCTTCATCAGACACGACTGGAATCAATGTCAAAAGGAAGACACGCATGCGTTGACGTTTACCTCGCACATGAAAAAAATATACGTAATTAATTCAATTTTAGATTTTCCCGTCGACTGATTGGACGAAGGTGATCGGTCTCAAGTTAATAAATCGACTTCTTATGCAGATGCTTCGATGATGTCTGGGAATGTAATTAGAGGTTAATTGGTGGATGGTGGCTGGCAGTAGAATCCAGGACAACGTGCATTTCGTCCTATTTGGGACCCGTCATCTGGATGAGCCTGCACTCCGCAGTGAGTACTGATGTTCCCAACAAGGCTTGAACCCAGTGTCTTCAGGTCTCAAACGCTAAATTGTTATCCACTAGACCACTTGGGCCACAAGAACCATCCTCTTGTGCAACGAGTCATATTACTTATTTGATTCAATTTCAGATTTTCCCATCGATTGATTGGACTAAAGTGGTTGGTCTCTGGATGATATGTCGGCTTCTTGATTGGACACTAGTAACTAGTCTGATGTGTCTGGCTAGTCCTTTCTTTGGTGCAGACTGGATTCTATCAGTCAGTCAGGTTTGCAATGTAGCCACCATGCCACTAGGTAGCTCACCATCACGGTGTACATTGATTTGATGGTAGTGGATAGTTAAAGGCAATCGTCAGGAAGCTCTCGACCTAGGTTTCGTGCTAGTTGGCACTCACCAGTCAGCAAGGCAGGCGTATCTGCAACCTTGAAGGAATTCATGTCCCTTCTGAGATTTGAACCCGCGTCACCCAATGCCGCCTCCATTCAGAGACGTTACCACTGAGCTATTCAGGTTCATGATTGGCCTCCTGAAGGACTGTAGTGGGTATTTTGATTGGATCGCGAGCCCGAATAGCTCAATGGTAATGTCACTGACAGCAGCGCTGGGTGACGCGGGGTTCGAATTTCAGAAGTTAACTGGTGGATGGTGACTAGCAGTGACTAGCGCATTTCATCTTGGACGTTTGAAACTATGCTCACTGGGTTCGAGCCTCGGTGATGGGAACATCATCACTCACTCACTGACTGGAATGCAGGTACATCTATACACCTGTCGAGTCCTAAATAGGACGAAATGCGTGTTGTCCTAGATTCCACTGCTAGTCATATTCATCCCCTCTTTTTATTTATACCAGTATACATTAAAATATATCAGACCAGCTGTATTATCAGTTTTCATAGAATGATGAACAGCCGTCAGTTGTAAATCGATCGATCAATAAAAATCAATAAACTACCTTATTGTATACATACACACACGCATAAACTAAAAAATATTTATTACACGCCTTAATTATGAATTTATATTTCACACAAATCAATAATAAATGTTTGACCAGGCACAAAAAAATACACAAGGTTAGAATTTCTGCCCATTCATTCCTCATTCATTCATTCGACCATTATTCAGACGTGATAGTATGTGTGCCTATCAATCAATGAATAAGTTTAGACCAAATGTTTTGTCCAGAAAAATCTCCCCCCCTCTCTCTCTCCAGTGGAGTTTGAATGTTTATGCGCACACACACACACAAACACAGGCACAATACAGACAGCAGAATATTCTTAGAGTAATGTTGAATATTCCCATATCACATGAATGAATAAAAGTCAATCTGAACGAAGAATATTCTTTTCAATACATCCTTCTCCTCTTCAGGTTCTTACACAATTATGAAAATATGATATTTATTGTATTACGAGTTGATCACGGACTGATATCAGTTAGAGAACAATTGGAAACCAGCGAGTACAGGACAGCTGCTGTTTCATCCTAGTTTGGGAATCATCGGCAATACGCACTCAACACCAAGGGGTTCGAACCCAGGACCTTCCGGTTACAAGGCAAGCTGGATCGTATACCATTCAGCCACTGGGACCCGATTCAATGGCCAGTCCATGAATTCTAACTTCTACCAATTCGTGATTTTAGCGCGACCCCAACTATTGTCGTTGGTGGGATATCCATCGACACACGTGACTTCTAATTGCACCTCACTGGTCACGACTTCTCACTAGAACTACAGGAAGCTCCAACCTGTAGCAAGTCACTAGCGAGCATCAGAATAATTTTCTATAGTTTGGTTTGTAAGGATTACTGTTGTCGTTACAATAATGACAGCCAGTTAGTTAGTTATGCGGCGGATAGATTTTGTTTACGTAGGATTTTGAGACAAAGGTTGAATTCGATCATCCGTAGAACCTACTATGCAGCCCAGCTTGTAATTGTGGAAAAAGCTAAAAATATGCTTCACTGCAAACCTCCAAAGTGCACAAGTGATTATGTCACATCCCACACAATTTACCAATTTTCGTGTGTGTGTGTGTGGACATACATACATAGGGAGGAGTAATCGCGCTTTGCATGTGAGGGTGGGAGAGCATATCTCAAAGTGGTTAGAAAAACAGATGAATTGTGACAAGCCAATAGATGCAGGTGTCAGACTAGCAACTTCGTCTATAGCTAAACATCTAATCGAGATGAACCATAAGATTGATGTTAACTCAGCCTTTAAGGTCATCTATAAAAACGGTCAAGGGTGCTTGTTGAAATACGCTGAGGCTATAGCCATTCATAAACTTAAGCTCCCCTTGTGTATTCAAAAACAGTTTGTTATTACTCTTAACCTACCTTGGTAATCCTTATTTGATTGGATTACCAAACGTTTTGTGTTAATTATTCTTAATTCTTTTTTTGTCACTTTGTTTAATTTAACTTTTTCATATATATCGACTTGACAAGTAAATGTGTTAGGGATCAGATCGTTCGAAATGTATAGCGCTAATACATCACATTTTTCAGATAATCTCCGTCTTCTAATAATGCTATCAGAATAATAGTTATGGGGTGTCAAAATAAATAGTCGTATTTGTGTGACAAACGTGCCCTGGGCTGAAATCTACCACAAAATATTTCGGTGAAATGGGAGACAATGGTGGTGGTGATTAGTCGTCATAAGAGATTTGTAGAGTGTGGGGTAGGAAGCGCTGACAAGTAAGTCAGTTCAAGGTTATAAAAGGTGTCAGGTGAGTGAGAGGCTAGTACAAAGTGGTCTGTATTAAAGTGGAGGTGATAGTAAGACTGCAATGAGAGGGGTTCATAATGAAATAAGGAATATGTGAAATGAAACAGGTGGAGGAAGGCATATATTGAGAAAAGAGACAATATCATTAATAATAATAAGTCCGGATAGTATAAATGGAAAATTCGATAGTATTGAGAGAATGTTTGCATGAATGGCATAAATTATGACGAACAATAATAACTGTAATAATATATGTGCAAAATTTGGGCACTGTGGTCGTAAGTAACTCCATATTAGTTTGTTTATTAGATGTATCACATAGTGAAACCGTATTATTTACTGGATTGTCAGGTTAGGCTTTCCACGTTTTTGTCGTTTTAATATTATTGCGCATTGTGCCCGTACTTCGTCAGACGTTGTTTTGTCTATCCCACACACTTAGTGCTATTTCTATTTTAGGGTTGACATCCTCAGGTTTCAGCTTGTCTACTCCTACATTGAAATTTAGTCCCTTTCTAATACACTTATTTCTGTAGGACTTGATATATGCGTTGAGAGATTGATAACTCATTTTGGTTTATCGATCGCCGTTGACTTTAGATTGTTGACTTCATCGTTCTGAGATGAAGATTTCTCCTCTAATAATTTATTGAACCTTTTGA